CAAGATTTTGAAATTTAGATTAGACCAACTTCTGTTTGAATTAAAAAAAACATTACCCACCCCCACGCCCACACCCACTACCACATCCTTCGGCCATCAGCCTCACTTCCTACAAACACCCAACAAGCACCACCTCCGCCAATGTTGGTCTACAATCACACATCAAAATTCAATCACACACCAATTAAAATTGCATTGTATGCATTTAATCCATCCAAAAATAATCCATCAGTTTACAATTTTCACTCAATAGACATTCTGTTTATTATGATAAAATTCTTGATTCATGTCTGATAGATTGAGAAAATTTGGACTTCCTATGATATTGTTGGAATCACCCTACAAGATTATCATATTTTTGTTGTTAATTTATATAGTACATAGGAAAATACCTTTATATAAGTTAGATGTCGGAAACATACCAAACTTAAATGGGACATAGGAAACTTTGTTTGTAACAAACTTGTAAAAGACATATTTGAGTATTGAAACGTCTGTATCTGTATCAATAATAGCTAATAACAATCAAAATACATAACCCAGCTTCAAATTAAAATTAATGAGTTTATTTTAATTGTATATAATCATTTGATAAATATGCCAAGTTGGTTGCCTACATACTCATATGAACATTTGGTATTATCATACCAAACATGGGAACAAACTACAAAGAATAAAACAACGAGTAATTTAATAATACACTTTTAGACAAAAAAAAATATAAGATTCATGTAGATAAAAAATTCGTTTAAAATTATAATCATACATGGTTTTGGTAGTTTTCACTCATTTGCATCCCAATCGAATGTAAAGATGAAGCACTCAACATAGATGATTGCATTGGTTGTGGTATTTGAGATATGCTCACATCTACTTTTCTAGACTTATTTTTTTTCTTCTCCAGAAAACCCTTCATTCGACTATATGTTTGATCTTTTTGTCTCAATCTCAAGGGATCCAATACTGGAGTCTCATTTCTTGATGATGAAATATTTCTATTAGCTTTAAATATATCCTTTTCATTGGATATTGCATTAAATTTTGTACCTTTCTCAAATGTATTGTCCATATCATGATCTGCAATCTCAATTGTGGCATCAGAATTAGCACTCAAATTCATAAGACTAAAGGCTTTGCGCATTAACTTGTTAAGCCACACTGTTTTTGCTGAGTTTCCACTAGTATCCAATAGTGGACCATTCTGTCTATTCATTACAATCCCATGCTTCACAGCTTTTGTCCACCTCCTCAATACATATTGTTCGAGAATTTTATTGACATCATTCAAATTTAAAACTCTCAATGCATGGTAGCACAACAATTCCAATGAGTGAAATTGCTTACAACTACATGAGAGTGAACAATCAGAGGAGTTAAATTGTATAATATATTTTTGTTGACCACCCTCCCTTTTCAACTTATACGTGTGCGGTGCATCAGTACAAGTGAATTCAACTTCTACTTCAGAAAGAGATTGTAAAACCTCGTCTTGAAACACTGCAAACATTTTATGTGTATACACCTTACATGCTTGTTTAAGAAGTCCACTGCTGCGACAAATAATACGAGGTTTTTCATAAGCACAATTGTGATCATCATTCACTTGAACCTCACACATTTTTTCATCATTTTGTTCATAGTGATGCACAAATTCAGTAAGACTCATTGTCTTGCATGTCATATGTTGGAAAACACTATTTGTACTTTCACTCCTTTGAGTAGCCCGAATGTTGCATGAAAATGTATCACGACTAAAGATTGGAGCCTATTTTCAACAAAACTCATATAATTTCTGAAGCTATGACTCATTCAAACAACCCTATTTATCAATTATTTCTGCCTATTTTTTCTCAAATTTGCTTTCACTTTCACATTTATACAAAAGATATGAGACCATCACCCTAAAACTAGATTATTGATAAAGACCAGAAATATTTGAAGCTGCATTTTTTGAGATATGCCATTGACATAAACGATGTTGCATATTAGGAAGCACTCTCGCAATGGCATTTGTTATCACATGGGCTTGATCAATAAAAATAGTTTTGGGTGCCTTATAATCCATAGTTTCAAGAAAAGTCTCAAACAACCAAACGAATGAAGTTGTTGTCTCATCACATAAAAATGCACAACCAAATAACACATTTTTTCAATGATGATTAACCTCAACAAATGGAGCACAAATCTTGATATATTTGTTCGTACGATAAGTGGTGTCAAAAACTACAACATCTTCAAAACATTTATAATTCAATTTTGATAATCCATCCCCCCCTAAAAAAAATAAAAAAAATTTGTCATTCGATTCTCTTTATCAACTTGTGCAGTATAAAAAAAAATTTGCTCTATTACTTGCTTGTGCTTAAAATAATTTATTAAACTCTCTCCATCACCAGTTTCAATCTTTTTTGATCGTTCAACTTGTATAAAATTTTGACAATCACACTCAGTAAATCCAACATTTTGATAACCACCTGCTTCATTTAACAAGTATGCATTTGTCTTGGTTGCTCTTATACCAGTTTTAGTCGTGGATTTGATAACATTGTTACTTGTGTTATGAATTGTACATGAAGACCTTATTAAATGCCTTTGATTTGGTTCAACAAATGGGTGATTATGCTCGGTGATTAACTGGCTAATTGTATAAACACCATTTTTCACTTTAAACACTACTCGAACCCGACAACCACACCTAGTCTCTAACCTCTCCACCTTCTTCACTTGAGTAGAATATGTAAATTCCCTAAACCCCTCTTTTGAACACACAAAATTGCGACGAATAAGTTTACCACTATTTCTTTTAAAACTCTTTTGACCTCTTTGAATGTTGAAACTTTTGTAATATGCATATTTGTTATACATATTAAAAGCTTATTTTTCATTATATGCAACCATGCCAACTTTTAACTCAAATTCATTACTTTGGCTACTTAACACACCATTTAGGACATCGATATTGTCGTAAACATAATTCTGTTTAACATCATCATCATCATCATCATCGTCACTTTGATCTACACATATTCAAAAATAATAGAAGACATTATTTTAGTGGTGCAAATAATATTTATCATTATCACTACATACCATGCATACCAATTTGTAAAAAAAAAAAATAGCAATCGAAAATGAATCATGAGTATTTGAAAACAAAATTTAATTTACATACACCTAGTTGTACAATTTCTTTTCCTTTGCTTGACGTCATTGTTGAATTTTAATATATAATTGCTGAAAGATAAAAATAACAATTAGAATTAAGGTCATAATAAAATTGATCAACTAAAATTTTTAAATAAAAAATAATAATTTATCTTTTCCATACCTCTAGGCTGATGCACATACACACACACTAACCCACACAAACACTACACATGCACATTGCACATAAAACCCACATGGCAGCACACAAGACACACGCAATGACTACACATACACAACACCTTCAAAGGCCAAAACCGACACATTAAACACCATCCACAAAAGGCAGCACTCAAATGTAAAATTGAAAAGAACAATACTTATGTAATTTTTTTTTTCTCGATGTAAATGACACTTGCAGGAAAAAAAAATGGCTATTAGTGAAACCTGTTAGAAATGGAGGAAGAAAGATGGTGCAACTGAGAGAGAGAGAGAGAGAGGTGAGTAAAGTTTGAAAAGTTGGAAATAAATTATAAGAGAAGAAATCTTCCATAGCAAGACGTCTGAAGGGATGGAGTCGACTGAAATAATAGGCATGCAAAGGAGAGAGAAAAGTTGGAAGGAAAGAGAAAATAAAAACGGTTACATCCGTTAACCAAGTTAACTCATTTGATTTACCTGTCATTTTTTTATTTTTATTTGACTATTTGTTGAGATGACTGTTTTTAATTGGTGATGAATACCAAATAAACATGTCAGTTTCGAGTACCAAAAATTTCGGATATTTGACATTTACTTTGGTTGTCAATTCAACCAAAGGGTTTAATATGTCTATACCCGATTGGTAAGACATATTAATACTAATATGATCAAATCACATGATATGTACTACTCATAAAAAAATTTCTCCTTAAATAACTTATAAGAAAAACAAGATAAATAAAAAATAATTAAATAATAATATTTTATACCTTTCTAATTTTTAATAATTAAAAAGTAAAGGCACAATACATCAATTCCAAAAAAATATACATTCTTAGACCGGTATACTAGTGATTTAACTTTATAATAATGGTCAAATATAAACAAAATAAAAATTTACTTTTTCATATTTTCCAATTCAATCGATGCAAGAACTAAAATTCTTTTTTACTTTTTTTTTTTTTTTAATTTTCAATTATTTAATTATCACACATAATTTTTAACAATCATATTCTAACAGATACTTCAACAAACTATTAACAAAAAACTTTTTGAGAGCTTAAATTGCGCTATTTGAAATGATAAGTATAAAAACAGATTATTGATGCATGATATCACCAAAAAACTATGAAAATATTATTAACACAAGCTCTACTAGGAGAAATGTATTTAGACCAATGGTAACCTTAAAATCCTATGATCTTTAAAGGAATCACTCAATTGGTCTATTAGATATCTATCTAGAATCACAAACCCTTCAAAGTTCCAACTACATCTCAGCGGAATCCAAAAATCAGCTCAATCCTTATTCACTATGACCAAATGGTAACAAATAATGCTATTCTTACAAAATTTCTCTATCAATAGGTGCACATTCAAGTAACCCAACCTGCATATATTGCCTGCTAAAATGGACGTAAAGCATGATTAACGCTTGAAGCACATAAATCAGGCGTAAAGCCAGATCAACGATTTACTTTTAAATGTAATCAATTCAAGGAGAAGACTTCAAGATCTTTGCAAAGCCAAAAGGCAATTTGATGGAAAGCTTAGCCAGAGACATGTATACAGAATAATATTACTCATGAAAAAATGAAATTATAATTTGGATTCTTATCATGTTCTTAATTCTGCAACTCCAAGCATTAACTATGTCACACCCGGCCAGATTCTAGCGTAAAAGCAATAGGACTTGCATTTGTTCCTCTCTGTTCCACCTGCAAGGACGTCAAGTTTAGTTGGACTGCCAAAAAGTAAACCGAAGTGATGAGAAAAGCATAGACAGCACTCACAATTGAAACATCCAAAGTAGAACCGTCGAGCACGGTGACGAATTTTGGGACATCACTCCTCATCTGGTGTTAATTGTCGCAGTACTCGGCGTCGGCGTCGGCGTCTCAGGGGACCTGACCCACCATCCAAAGACTCGTTGTTTACGTCTCTTGAAGCAGATTCAGGTTCCCCATCATAGCTCTCCCCCCAAAGTCTTCTTGTCGATCTCTGCCTGAGAGTCACTCGGGCTCTGGTTCTTGAGGTACCAGACCAGCTACTGCTACTTGAACTACTCCCAGGTCTGAAAACTCGAATTAGGAAAAAGACAGTAAGCCAACCCCCTTCATCAAAAGATAAGACGCTTTCCTCACTCCTGTCCTCTCCGACAGAAGATTGCAGTGTGCTAAGCAAATCTCCAAGATCCCTCTGCCGCTCCAACCTCCTCCAGCTACGCTGCCTCTCTGGGTCTGCTTCTGAGGGCCGCACAAGGGGGTGCAACAACCTTGCATGCTTCCTCAGATCTGTATATGTGCCACTAAAATCACAAGTCTCACAGGCACAGCTTCTTGATTTTGCATTCATGAAGTGACGAGCAGGCTCCACTACAATCCACCCATTAATCTGCCCACGACAAAGAGGGCACACCAGCTTTGGCTTCACTGGGTTCTCACAAGACATGGTGTGCACAGATGTGGACCCTTCCTCATTTCTTTCACCTTGCAAACCAGAAACAGTTGCTTCTGAAATCACCGTGAAGGATGGTGAATGAATAGTTGAAATTGGAGTTTCTTCTTCCAGAGGCAACACTATTGGCGAGTTTTCTGAAAATGACTTCCGAAACTGGTCAAAACAGTTTGAGTGGCGATAGCTTGTGTCACACATGTAAGGGCGGCAGCCTTTATCATGGGATGAACATAAGAGTAGAATTCCATTGTGAGGGTGCTCCATACAAACAGGGCATCGAGCATCCTCCCATTCTTTAACATTCTCCTCACCTTCCAAAGGGCTCCTCAACAATGACCGTTTTGAGCGACTAGAGCTACAAGGGAAAGGAGACACTCTCGATTTATCGAAAGATACTNGTGAGGGTGCTCCATACAAACAGGGCATCGAGCATCCTCCCATTCTTTAACATTCTCTTCACCTTCCAAAGGGCTCCTCAACAATGACCGTTTTGAGCGACTAGAGCTACAAGGGAAAGGAGACGCTCTCGATTTATCGAAAGATACCGAACGATCTCTTCTCTCCTTAGGCATGTTGAGATGTCAATATATCAATCAAGAGTGCACCCACAAAGCAGCAGCAGAATTATGAAAACTAAAAAAGATAATCCACAAAAGAAGGATAATAAATAAGTACTTGCACAACAATATACCAAATACTCGTGAATCATAAGGTGACAAAGTGCACGGGATACCCGAATGCAGGAAGTGAAAGTTACAAAACAAATAAAACCACTAGATCCTTATTTGATCCTTTCCTCTTCAAAAACTGACAGAAAACAAATAAAACTAAATATCCATCTCATTTAACATTACTTCCACATCAGTTATCTTCATTCGCAATTTTCTTAGGAGAAAGTAGTAATCACTCCTCGAAGTAAGGTAAAGCAACATATGTGCAGGAAATGGAAAAAGAAATAATAATTGCAATTAGGAACTTAAAAAAAACTAACAACATGAGACCATTAGAACATTAGATAGTCCTTNCTCTTCAAAAACTGACAGAAAACAAATAAAACTAAATATCCATCTCATTTAACATTAATTCCACATCAGTTATCTTCATTCGCAATTTTCTTAGTAGAAAGTAGTAATCACTCCTCGAAGTAAGGTAAAGCAACATATGTGCAGGAAATGGAAAAAGAAATAATAATATCAATTAGGAACTTAAAAAAAACTAACAACATGAGACCATTAGAACATTAGATAGTCCTTAAAAGAAAAGGAAAAACAAAGTGCAATGGTAATATTTTAACCTACAACAAAATGTTTGAAGAATGAACTACATTCATCATTTAGAGAAAGTGTGTACTATGGCAGACTTCACAAAAAAAAAATCAAAAGTTGCTTGCTCATTTACACAAACAATAATATCACCTAGCAAGCTGAAATAACAAGTGCANGCAATGGTAATATTTTAACCTACAACAAAATGTTTGAAGAATGAACTACATTCATCATTTAGAGAAAGTGTGTACTATAGCAGACTTCACAAAAAAAAATCAAAAGTTGCTTGCTCATTTACACAAACAATAATATCACCTAGCAAGCTCAAATAACAAGTGCACCATGCTATATGCACACTAAGCAATCTGCCACCACCACTTATTGAAAATACACCCTGATGGCTTTAATGCCTAGTCAAATTAAGCACTCCCAACCTGCCTTTTCTCCTTCTCCTTTCAAGCAAAAAGACAAAGTATGCATAGTGTTTGTGTCCCTTTATTTGCTTTTTAAGTGTATATATATAACCAAAATAGATTCCACCCGGGCGCACAGAAAGGTCCAGGGCATGCACATAACATCCAAATGTACTTAATCTAGATACTACCACCCAGCACACTGAAGATTTCTNTGTGTCCCTTTATTTGCTTTTTAAGTGTATATATATAACCAAAATAGATTCCACCCGAGCGCACAGAAAGGTCCAGGGCATGCACATAACATCCAAATGTACTTAATCTAGATACTACCACCCAGCACACTGAAGATTTCTGAGAAAGAAAAAGATAAAGATATATAGTTGTAAAGTCCATCACATTCAATAGACAAAAATAGGAGGTACATGAACAATAATATGCTCACCAAAACACAGAGCATGAGACTCGGGCAAAATGCATATGTCCCAGGGCATATATTTCTATTCCTATTATATTCAGCGCCAGACATTCTAGTTGAAATAATTAAAATATCGCTACACACTGAACAGACTAGTTTTCAGAAGCCAATCATTCTTATGACCATCTTTGGTGAGTGATATAGCAAAATGGCAAAAATTTATTTCACTTCGTTTGTAGTTTTTTTTCCCCGGTAAGTTGCCACACAAAGATGACTTCTAGGTACTGGGTGACAAACACACCAAGTTGTTTTTCCTCCTTTCAACTCAATTTCAATAATTGTGCCAAAATTGTCTTTTTAAGAGATTCAGTAATTAAACCATTTTCATTTTAATTCAATATCTACAGAATGCAATTCACCAAGCGAAAATGAAAAAATTAACATATAACATCAAAGAANGAGAGAGAGAGAGAGAGAGAGAGATGAGTAAAGTTTGAAAAGTTGGAAATAAATTATAAGAGAAGAAATCTTCCATAGCAAGACGTCTGAAGGGATGGAGTCGACAGAAATAATAGGCATGCAAAGGAGAGAGAAAAGTGGGAAGGAAAGAGAAAATAAAAACGGTTACAACCGTTAACCAAGTTAATTCATTTGATTTACCTGTCATTTTTTTTTATTTTTATCTGACTATTTGTTGAGATGACTGTTTTTAATTGGTGATGAGTACCAAATAAACATGTCAGTTTCGAATACCAAAAATTTCGGATATTTGACATTTACTTTGGTTGTCAATTCAACCAAAGGGTTTAATATGTCTATGCCCGATTGGTAAGACATATTAATACTAATATGATCAAATCACATTATATGTATTACTCATAAAAAAATTTCTCCTTAAATAACTTATAAGAAAAACAAGATAAATAAAAAATAATTAAATAATAATATTTTATACCTTTCTAATTTTTAATAATTAAAAAGTAAAGGCACAATACATCAATTCCAAAAAAATATACATTCTTAGACCGGTATACTAGTGATTTAACTTTATAATAATGGTCAAATATAAACAAAATAAAAATTTACTTTTTCATATTTTCCAATTCAATCGATGCAAGTACTAAAATTCTTTTTTACTTTTTTTTTTTTAATTTTCAATTATTTAATTATCACACATAATTTTTAACAATCATATTCTAACAGATACTTCAACAAACTATTAACAAAAAACTTTTTGAGAGCTTAAATTGCGCTATTTGAAATGATAAGTATAAAAACAGATTATTGATGCATGATATCACCAAAAAACTATGAAAATATTATTAACTCAAGCTCTACTAGGAGAAATGTATTTAGACTAATGGTAACCTTAAAATCCTATGATCTTTAAAGGAATCACTCAATTGGTCTATTAGATATCTATCTAGAATCACAAACCCTTCAAAGTTCCAACTACATCTCAGCGGAATCCAAAAACCAGCTCAATCCTTATTCACTATGACCAAATGGTAACAAATAATGCTATTCTTACAAAATTTCTCTATCAATAGGTGCACATTCAAGTAACCCAACCTGTATATATTGCCTGCTAAAATGGACGTAAAGCATGATTAACGCTTGAAGCACATAAATCAGGCGTAAAGCCAGATCAACGATTTACTTTTAAATGTAATCAATTCAAGGAGAAGACTTCAAGATCTTTGCAAAGCCAAAAGGCAATTTGATGGAAAGCTTAGCCAGAGACATGTATACAGAATAATATTACTCATGAAAAAATGAAATTATAATTTGGATTCTTATCATGTTCTTAATTCTGCAACTCCAAGCATTAACTATGTCACACCCGGCCAGATTCTAGCGTAAAAGCAATAGGACTTGCATTTGTTCCTCTCTGTTCCACCTGCAAGGACGTCAAGTTTAGTTGGACTGCCAAAAAGTAAACCGAAGTGATGAGAAAAGCATAGACAGCACTCACAATTGAAACATCCAAAGTAGAACCGTCGAGCACGGTGACGAATTTTGGGACATCACTCCTCATCTGGTGTTAATTGTCGCAGTACTCGGCGTCGGCGTCGGCGTCTCAGGGGACCTGACCCACCATCCAAAGACTCGTTGTTTACATCTCTTGAAGCAGATTCAGGTTCCCCATCATAGCTCTCCCCCCAAAGTCTTCTTGTCGATCTCTGCCTGAGAGTCACTCGGGCTCTGGTTCTTGAGGTACCAGACCAGCTACTGCTACTTGAACTACTCCCAGGTCTGAAAACTCGAATTAGGAAAAAGACAGTAAGCCAACCCCCTTCATCAAAAGATAAGACGCTTTCCTCACTCCTGTCCTCTCCGACAGAAGATTGCAGTGTGCTAAGCAAATCTCCAAGATCCCTCTGCCGCTCCAACCTCCTCCAGCTACGCTGCCTCTCTGGGTCTGCTTCTGAGGGCCGCACAAGGGGGTGCAACAACCTTGCATGCTTCCTCAGATCTGTATATGTGCCACTAAAATCACAAGTCTCACAGGCACAGCTTCTTGATTTTGCATTCATGAAGTGACGAGCAGGCTCCACTACAATCCACCCATTAATCTGCCCACGACAAAGAGGGCACACCAGCTTTGGCTTCACTGGGTTCTCACAAGACATGGTGTGCACAGATGTGGACCCTTCCTCATTTCTTTCACCTTGCAAACCAGTAACAGTTGCTTCTGAAATCACCGTGAAGGATGGTGAATGAATAGTTGAAATTGGAGTTTCTTCTTCCAGAGGCAACACTATTGGCGAGTTTTCTGAAAATGACTTCCGAAACTGGTCAAAACAGTTTGAGTGGCGATAGCTTGTGTCACACATGTAAGGGCGGCAGCCTTTATCATGGGATGAACATAAGAGTAGAATTCCATTGTGAGGGTGCTCCATACAAACAGGGCATCGAGCATCCTCCCATTCTTTAACATTCTCCTCACCTTCCAAAGGGCTCCTCAACAATGACCGTTTTGAGCGACTAGAGCTACAAGGGAAAGGAGACACTCTCGATTTATCGAAAGATACCGAACGATCTCTTCTCTCCTTAGGCATGTTGAGATGTCAATATATCAATCAAGAGTGCACCCACAAAGCAGCAGCAGAATTATGAAAACTAAAAAAGATAATCCACAAAAGAAGGATAATAAATAAGTACTTGCACAACAATATACCAAATACTCGTGAATCATAAGGTGACAAAGTGCACGGGATACCCAAATGCAGGAAGTGAAAGTTACAAAACAAATAAAACCACTAGATCCTTATTTGATCCTTTCCTCTTCAAAAACTGACAGAAAACAAATAAAACTAAATATCCATCTCATTTAACATTACTTCCACATCAGTTATCTTCATTCGCAATTTTCTTAGGAGAAAGTAGTAATCACTCCTCGAAGTAAGGTAAAGCAACATATGTGCAGGAAATGGAAAAAGAAATAATAATTGCAATTAGGAACTTAAAAAAAACTAACAACATGAGACCATTAGAACATTAGATAGTCCTTAAAAGAAAAGGAAAAACAAAGTGCAATGGTAATATTTTAACCTACAACAAAATGTTTGAAGAATGAACTACATTCATCATTTAGAGAAAGTGTGTACTATAGCAGACTTCACAAAAAAAAATCAAAAGTTGCTTGCTCATTTACACAAACAATAATATCACCTAGCAAGCTCAAATAACAAGTGCACCATGCTATATGCACACTAAGCAATCTGCCACCACCACTTATTGAAAATACACCCTGATGGCTTTAATGCCTAGTCAAATTAAGCACTCCCAACCTGCCTTTTCTCCTTCTCCTTTCAAGCAAAAAGACAAAGTATGCATAGTGTTTGTGTCCCTTTATTTGCTTTTTAAGTGTATATATATAACCAAAATAGATTCCACCCGGGCGCACAGAAAGGTCCAGGGCATGCACATAACATCCAAATGTACTTAATCTAGATACTACCACCCAGCACACTGAAGATTTCTGAGAAAGAAAAAGATAAAGATATATAGTTGTAAAGTCCATCACATTCAATAGACAAAAATAGGAGGTACATGAACAATAATATGCTCACCAAAACACAGAGCATGAGACTCGGGCAAAATGCATATGTCCCAGGGCATATATTTCTATTCCTATTATATTCAGCGCCAGACATTCTAGTTGAAATAATTAAAATATCGCTACACACTGAACAGACTAGTTTTCAGAAGCCAATCATTCTTATGACCATCTTTGGTGAGTGATATAGCAAAATGGCAAAAATTTATTTCACTTCGTTTGTAGTTTTTTTTCCCCGGTAAGTTGCCACACAAAGATGACTTCTAGGTACTGGGTGACAAACACACCAAGTTGTTTTTCCTCCTTTCAACTCAATTTCAATAATTGTGCCAAAATTGTCTTTTTAAGAGATTCAGTAATTAAACCATTTTCATTTTAATTCAATATCTACAGAATGCAATTCACCAAGCGAAAATGAAAAAATTAACATATAACATCAAAGAAAAGTTATGTTTATAACATCAAATTAGAATAATGTTACTTACATAGCATATGCATAGAATATACAAAGCAACAAACTTCAAACTTATCCCAAAACCCTAACTGTGCACATTTTTAGCTAAAAATCAGCTGACCCTATCACTTACTTCCCTACGGTAACAATTTAGTTGTCATCAGCAACTACCCCAGGTTTATGCAAAAAAAAAATTCCCCCAGCCTCAACAAATCACCCCACAATCGACACGAAGCCAAGGACTAACCAACGAGTGCAGTTACACCATAACACCCCCAAAACGACAAATCAGAACCTCAAACAAGGCTCAACAGAGAGAGAATTATCAGATCCGAGTAAAACCAGACCCGATTAGCATAGAGCCAAAAATTAGGTTTCAATCAAAAATTACCAGAACACGAACTTGTATGAATTGAGCTGCAACTTCTATGAAAACACCACAGCTCACATCCGATTACGAATTACCATGGAAGTCGTCCGGAATCGAAGAACCCCAGAGAGAGGGGGTGGGGGAGAGAGAGAGAGAGGAAACTGCGAGTCTGCTATACGTAGAGACCCAGATAGAATTTTGTTAACGAAGGTGCTAGGGTGGTATATAAAAAGGCATCTCTAACATTTACTCTACTCAAATTTATATTTGAGTAAAAAAATTTGTTTCAGATTCAAATTTATTTCAAATTAAGAAAATTTTATTTTTTTTATTTAAATCAAGAGAAATTTAAATATTTATTCAAATTTTTAATCATAAAATTTTATTATTTTTTAAATTTAAGATTGTCTTCATTTAAATTTAGATACCTTCTTCTTTAAATTTTAATTTTTCCATTAAAATCTGTTATATAAAGTGTTTTATTTAAATAAAAATTTAAATCATTGTTCCTATAAAAGAGTAGTCACCGAGCTGATGTGGAAAATTTTTGTACCCACTCTTCTCCATTTCAAATTTGAACTACCGGCGCCGTTTTGGGTAAAATTGTCCTAGACATTATTTAAGAGACCCAACGCGCCTCGTGGCACGTGACTAAAGAATGAATGTGCTCATTTTTTCTTTGTTAATTTTTTTTAAACAGTGCATCTTCGAGTATAAATTGTATACCTCCATATTTATAATATAATACACACAAACTTAACCTTAGAAGAATGGAATATATTTAGACAAGAAAATATAAATATTAATCAGATTTTACTTGAAAAGGACTTTCGAAATTCCGGGAATGTTTTCAAAATTATGGTTGAAAATTTGATTATATTTTTAAATTAAAATGTATAATTTATTCACCTTTTCCCCTGTTTTGTAAATGCCACCACCGCCACCCATCTTTTCCAATTCTTCTCCATCTTTACTGTGGGGTCCAACACAATTGCAAATGTCAACCAAATAAGAGCAAACTGGGAACTTGGAATCTTTGCAAAGTTTGATAACGTCCGTGAAATATACGCTCGTTTAGGTGAGCAGTGGCTAGTAAACAAAATTTTCTCTCCTGCTCACCTCGCTTCTCTCCGCTCCCAGTCCGAGTGTCAAATCAATTACTTCGGGTTTGAGAAGTCGGTTTCTAACCGAACCACATTTAGCAACCGGTATGAACCGGCACAGTTGATAATCGGGAATTAGATCATCGGGAAAGATCATCTTGGACTTCAGCCCAATTACTATCTGGATCAAACAGCCTAATGTGATGGCCCAGAATATTCTCTAATACATATATACTCAATTTTTCTCGATATCGATGACACACTATTTAATGGTCGAAGACCCACGGTGTGCTAATAATACTCTACTCTATCCCTCACAGACCTCCATTAATGTGCACTAAAATAGGCACTTTTTTTTTAATGATTGTAAAACAATATCACGAGTACTTTCTCACTTTTTTAGTTGTTAGGCCGTGCACATGTGCGTTACACGTAATTTATGTTAAATATAATTTTAATTTTAAATTTTTGTCATATTATTTTAGTTTTGTTTAAATTGGTGTATAAATATGTGACAATTTTTTTTGTTTGTGTTTGACTTATTTACTAATCAAGGTGCAAACTGCAAAGTCTATAAAAAAAAATGCAGTACTAGTAACACCTATTTTGTTTTTGTTTTTTTCAAAAACAATTACCAAAATTCAATTCATAATTGACTTATAAAAAACGCTTCTCATTTGTGAACATGATTAACGTTTAAGATAGTAAGGTGAATGCAAAATATGAAAATGTATCACCATAATAGATAGAGTTTTTTGCTCTATAAAAGACCAAAGACATAAATTTAGAAAATCGTTGGTTGTTCGTCAGAGTAGCTCTCACTTTCTCCACATGCGTGAATAGACAGCATATTCTAATTGACCAAAATGATTTTTCTTAGTTTTGTTGATAATAAAAAAGACCATCTAATTTAGAAAACTATTTTTTAAATTTATTTTGGTGGTGGCAGAAGGGAAACAAAGTTGAAGTTTGAACACTCAACCATTTGTATGAAGAGTGAGCCGCCACCACTTATCCACACCCTTATATCAACATAATTCACAGACCCATTTACATATATTAAGAGATAATGTATAACAATGAAGCTACCGACGAAATACATTAATATACTTGCCAATTTAAAAAAAAATTAATATAAAATGCATAAATAATGAAGCTAGTGTGTTTGGCATCATTGAGTTGAGGTCTTACAAATAGAACCGAGGAAAATTTTCTCAGAAATTTTTACAGTTTTTTCTTGAACTCAATTCCGGTGCTCAAGTTCCACGTCAAACATGGCAGTAGCATAGATAGACTTTGCTATACATAATTTATCTTAATCTGATCAAGCAATGAAGATGCAATAGCAGTTAATCTATCCATCACTACTGGATATTTTTCACTGCTGTTTTGAAACATGTTAAGTAGGTTGGAACACCTTGAACCTTCTTTTTTCTTTTTGTGCAATGTGAACAATCTAAACTAAGCTCCAATAAGTATCCAGACATCACAACTTAAACCGTAGAAATTCTCTAAATAAGCTACACAACTTACAACCTCATTTAAGAACTTCATCATATTGAAGTGCACATTCTCTGCAAATATGTATTAACTAAACAATCGAGACTCTGATGAACTGAAAACTTTTACATTATATAAGGAGCAAAAGACTCTTACAAACGAAGTGGCCATGATAAAACTCAAAAGACTAATATCATCAGTACCCAATCTGACATTCATTGGACCTACTCAATTACCTCACAAGACACTCACCTATGATAGTCACTCAACAATTACATTCTACACTGATATTTGACACACAGTGGAAATATGACACTTTGGCTAATATTTTTCACATGATATGGGGCCGAACACTGGTGAAATTCACCAATCCTATTGATGGTCTCCTTTCATAATGGCCACAAAGTCTGGATAGATGAAGTAAAATGAAATCAAACCAATAAATTTCTTACCAAAGCTGTTCATGCAAAGCCAAAAACAAAAAGGAAGTGAAAGCACTCAAAATGCATACTCAATCTGCGAATAAATTAATTATTTCTTGAAACCCATGAAAATTTTTTGGTATTTAGTTTTTGAATCAACTATTTTTCTTGTGAAATGTCTATAGCAAATAAAACTCACAAAGAATAATCAATCAAGAAAAAGGATAAACACACAATTCCAAAACATACCCACAAAAGGATAGCTTGTTTTTAAGCACAAAGTTACAGAAGGTACCATTGAAAAATTGCATATTCTCTCATAAATTTGTCTAGAACTGAGAGTAAATTCACTAACGAAAAAACAAAAATCAAGAATTTGTATATATACAAAAAGAGACAGAGAGGGTGTGTGATAGAGAAGAGCAATTTATTATATGTTCAATTTGGTACGAAAGTTGCAAGATTCAAATTCTTTGAATATCCAAAACTAAGGGCATTAAGAGAGAAAATGGAGGGGCCCTTGCCAAAAAGACAAAACTGAAGAAAAACTAATCGAAAGGCAACCAACTTCTGTTTTTTTTTAAGACTAAATGGAAGGCCAAAGTCTTCATAATTGAACCATGAGATTAATTTTTCAACTAAACGTGAACCTACCACGATCTAAAGGGATCTGATAAAGAAAGAAAAAACAAGTAAGAAAAAGGTCAAGATATAGAAATGTTTAAACTTGAACCTCTATTTATTTGCCCGAGCTTTTCTTTTGTGTATATATATAAGAAAAGTCATGGTCATGTACCTCATAGACAACAATCTTTTAGAATTAAGCCAGGTAGAGGTTGAATAATGAGAGATCTCTATAGACCTACAAGAGAGACAGAGACAGAGACAGAGAGAGACGGAGAGAAACCTAGGATAAGGAGAAATGGGGAGGCAAAGACTGAGATATCATAAATTCACAGCCCATAAGAAGAGCCAAGCATTGACTATTTATAGATTGTATAACTGAGTCAACATATACATACATTGATGTATAATTGAATAAAAGAGACAACTGTTGCTTCCAAATTTTGAGTAGAAGCACATATATTCAAGCACCAAAGCAAGAGAGAGATTTACATGTATATATACCAAGCTCAAACAAGACTAAATCCAAGAAAAAAAATTAAAATGACCTAGAAATCGTCACTTCATTCTTTTTTCTAACCATCCTTTAGAATTTTTTCTCTAATCAGCCGCAGCATGATCATAATCCCTTTGACATTGCTACAATGTAGATACTTTTCATTCAATTAAAAGCACGGAGATTTAAAACAGCCAAAAAACTTTCTAAATATCATGTAACAAAGGGAAAAAAGGATTGATAGCTCACTTGGAGAGAGATAGATCGTAATCATTTTTGGAACGAATGAATTACCATCATGGCTTCTATTGAGCTATTTTCTCATCAATTCCTATAAAAAAATTAAATCACGACAACACAACAAGCATCCACTTCTGAAAACCAGTGATTTGAATACAATTCTTCCCTGAGCAGCAGCCAATAAGCATTAGAACAGGATGCTATGAAATCATTCCAATCACTTTAAACATATTTCTCAAAAGGAAAGTAGATTTTCAATTACTCAACCAATGAAATATCTTCACAGTGGGAGGAAAGGACATTTACATTTTTTTCCCAAAAAGAAACAACAATTTTTGAAAGGACAATCACATTGATTAACTAAGACATGAAAAGATTTTCACTACAAATTTTTTGTTCAATAGTTGGTAGATATTGCAGCGCAAAATCTAGATACTAAAAAGAGACGGTGAGTTCTCAGTGGCGTAACTAATATAACATTCAAACCTTTTGGACAATTAGAAGGGATCATGAGATTTTCTGGACAGAGTGGCTAGTCAAATATCAAAGCTAAATTAGCCCAAGGCATAGTAAGTGATAAAGTTTGGGCCTTTACTGAGTAAATTTCACCTTAGTAACCATACGACATCGTGGCAACTCCAGGGCTAGGGAGATTTAACCTAATTGGACAACCCACCCTTATTGGAATTTTGTTGAAACCAATTCACCCTTTCTCATATTAAGGTTGAGATAAACTTACATCCTGTTGATGGCAACAAAATTGGTAGAGAGATTCCTGTTCAAACTCTAGCAATCAGTCATTCAATG